ACAGTCTCTTTTTGACCTTGCGTCTTCCTTAGTGACTCCGGGGTTCACTTCGTTACTCATCGTTTTTCCCTTGACTAGGGACCTGCTAACCTTCCGAATGCCGCTCGCAGAAGTATATGCGTCCATGTCACGTCGCCGCCTTCTCGTCAAATCTCCCAAGCTACTCATGCCCCGCATTGCGCAGGGGTTGGCTACGTCGCCAGGGTAAGGGTTTGTTTTTTCAGTGCCCCCAAAGGCCTTTGGAGGCCTGCCTCCAGATGTGGCGGCGCCCACGGCTGAGATTGCTCCAATCAGACCTCCAAGCGGGCTTTTGTTGGCATCCAGTCGGTCCAAGATGCACAGCGCTGCCTCCAAGTACTTTTGACCGTATTTGCCTCCTGGACTGCAAGAGGGCCCAATATCCCACCGAAAAGTTCCAAGAGGCACTCAAGCTGAAATTCCTACGTGTCTGTGTGGCCAAACGTTGGGTCAACGTCTGACCAAGCTATTGGACGATTCGCTCCCCCAACCATCGTGGAAACCATTCGGGGAACATGTAGGGGGAAGGGAGAGAAGAGGAGGAGCAGCAGAGGTAGGAACAGGAGAACGAGGAGGAGGAGGAGAAGGAGGCCTCTTGGGGGCCTTTTCAGATAGGGGAAGGTTTCTATTGTCGATGTTTGCTACCATCCGCTGCAGATTCGACAGCATCAGATAGCTGGGATCCGTAACCATTGTGGCTCGAGCCAGCGCTTTTTTTTCGTTAGAGCGCGCCCATGATGAACATCCCGCGGCAAAAACGCAACAGGAGTCGGATGGTACCGCGGGGTCGTTCGGAAATCTATACGAAAACAGCCAACTACCTGAACACCTGAACTGATGTCAGCATGTGAGTGACGATGTCTCAGGCATTACCCATTCGTTCGCACTCGATGCATGAAGAGACGCGAGGGAAGTCAAACGGAAACCGCGAAAGTCTCAGGAAATTTATGAGAGACAGCTGGAGACTGCTCGTTATTGCTAAAACCCCGAGCAACAGCTGCATTTCGAGCCAGACCCCAGGATCACATGACGCTAGCACATTCAAGGTGGGGAGACGTCCGTAAGCAGACGTCCGACCAAGTGCGTTTTTCAAAGGGCTGGGTGTCTTTGTCTCAAGTCCTGAAAGGTTTATCGGCAGACGCGTTCTGGGCTGAAGATGGCTTGTAGGTCTGGGGTCGCAGCATAAACATTTTAAAGGTGGGGAGCCCACCGCTACCCTCAAGACCCCGCTGCTCCCCCTACCCGCCAGGCCCACGCGGAGGCTTATAATAAGGGGGGAAAGGGGGGTCTGCTTGATGGCAGCCGTACTGATGCACGGCTAAAACAAACCATTTTCGTCACAGAACGCACAAAACAAATCGAAGGATGAACTCTCCCCTGTCTGTTGGGGTCCTCATGGAGCCTCTTGGGGGCTTCCTCGGGGCTTCTTGAGGGCCCTTGGGAGCATTTTGGGGCCGTTCGAGGGCCTCGGGGGCCTCTGAGGGGCCTCTGGGAGCCTCAAATGGGCCTCTTGGCCTTCGGAGGTCGTCTTGGGGGCCTCCCTGAGCCGTCTCGGGGCTTCCATGGGACCATCTTGAGGCATCTTGGGCCGTCGTGGGGCCTTCTTGGTTCATCTTGTGGCTTTCATTGGGTGCTTCTGGGGCCGTCCCATGGTTATCTTGGAGGCATAGGGCCCTCCTGGAGAGCCGCTTGAGAGCATCTTGGGCATTTGGGGGCAATCTTGGTTACTTGGAGGGCATGTTGGGCCGTCTAGGAGGCTCCTTCGGGCCATCTTGGGCGTCCTGGACTTTTCAGGTCATCTTGAGCGGGACAGCCGCTGTAGGCCGGTTTTTCCAGGTGGCTGGCAGGGCGCGCCGACACCCCAATGGGATTTCTTTTGGAATGGTCAAACAGTGTCTGAACCTTCTGCATGCCAAGCCGCCTTTTACAAGCAAGTGGGGTGACACCCCAGCCGTTGCGGAAACCCGCGGGGGGAACACATGGGAGCGCAGGGCCTCTCGAGCGTCTCCCGCCGGCCGCGCTGGCGCGCGCCCGACGGACTGCGCCGAGGCGCCCTCACGCCACGATGGCGGAGAGGGCAAGGTTGAAAAAAGTGTGGAGCTGGAAGACCCACACGCAGAGGAAGAGGGTCAGGGGCGCGTCGACGCAGGCCAATTTGCCGTCGACGAAGCAGGCGTCGCCGCCGAAGAAGACGCCGTGCCACCAGCTGACCACGGAACGGCAGCGAATCACGACACGGTCGATCATCGCGCCGCGTGGCTGCGAGAGGGGCCACCCTGCGGAAGCTGCGCCGCTGGGGTACGTCGGGCACGAGGCGCCAGTCCCTTCTCGACGCGCTTGATCGCATCTTGCTGGTTGCGGCGCGTGGACTCGTTGGGCGAGAGCCCTTCGCACCCCAAGCCAAGCTCCCGCACTGTGCGGACATCACCCGCAGCACAGTGGGACCCGCAGCGTCTGCAACAGTAGACATCGTTGCCCCTAA